ATTTTCTAAATTGTTTGAGTGTAAGTTTAAGATATATTGCTATTTAATCTTCAGATATTTCAGTGTGTATTTTCTAAAAAGCAGGACACTTTCAAAATAATCATAGTAAATCATCAAAGATGAAAAATTAATATTAATGCAATATTATTTATCGGATCTAGTGATTTCACTCAAATTTCACAAATTGACCTAATAATGTTCTTTTTGGTGAAAGAAAAACAAAGATTTTCTGGTCCAGGATCACATGTTGCGTTGGGTTATCACATCTCTTTGATCTTCATTTATCTAGAACAATCCTCAGTGTTTCTTCTCCTTCAGGGCTTTGTTTTTGAAGAGTACAGGCTATGCATGAAGCAGAACTGAAAGATATGTCTATGCATGTCTAGCTGCTGGTTATGCATAGATGTGCTCTGCATCCTTCTCAGTGTGGCATCTGGAGGAGTTCTAAGTCTTTCTTTTTTTAAAAAGATAATAATACCAAGTTCGTTATTAGAGATCAGAATAAAGGAAGTGAAGTGGAAACCGTGTTTTTGAGAAGCTGCCATGTTAAGACATGGTGGCTTTGCAGGCCTTTTTACGAGCTCTTGCATCGTGGTCATGGTGATAGCAGTTTCTCAACTTCCCTACAAGCTTCTCCATGCTCCAGGGCTTCAGGCTGACATCACTAGTAACTGTGCCTGATCTCTCAGCCTTCACTCCCCCGCAACCACCTGATTCCCATATTACACTCCTTGTTTCTATCATTCTTATAGTGACTCTCATCTTATGATCACACTCAGACTGATACCAGCTGTATTCCTATCTTTCTTTGCCTTCATGACTTTGGGGGTTTTGAAGAGTGTGCCATACCAGGAGGCACATGGCCTTGGCTTGTCCCATAACCAGTCGGATTAGTTTTTATTTCATATGTAGAGATTTTAAGGAAATTTTATATATATAAACTCGACTAGTGTAGTGTTTTGCTTAAGTGTGACCTTGATAAATAATCTTTGAATAACTCAATATTGACTGTATTCCCTGAATGGAATCTGTAGGCTTCACTGCAATTCAAATCCCATGGAAATTATTTGAAAAAGGCAAATGCCCATGAGGTTTAATGTCTCCTAGAGCAGAGAGGGGAGACTCTGTGTTGTCATGTTTTGCCAGGGGCAAGCATAAGGGGAGTCACAGTAAAACAATGGCTTACCTTTGTGAAACCTTCTACACTGCACTTTTACATGTAAGTTGATTCAGGTGGTTGTCTGTTGGACTTCTCCACAGTGAAATTACTACTACTCTTTTTTTTTTTTTAAGTTAGTATGCATCTTATGGGGAGATTCTTTGAAATTCTATAATTATTTTTTTTCTCATCAGAGTTTCACCCACTAGTTTTAACATCTATTAAATATTCTTGCCTGAAAAAATTGGTGCTTTTCTAATTCCATCTTTCTTTATAAATTTATTAATTGGAATATTAGTTCTTCTGTAAAGTGTGGCAAATAATGTGCCCTGTCTAACTCACAAGGTTGTTGAGAGGATCAAATGATTTAAACGTAAATTTGCAGAGTAGAAGGCTTCAGAAAGGTAAGCCATTGTTTTTTTTGTTTGTTTGTTTCTCCCATTATGGTTTTCTCTGGCAAAACAAGACAACACAAAAAGTATCACTCTCTGCTCCAGGACACATTAACCTGTGTGAGCATTTGCCTTTTTCAAATAATTTCCATGGGATTTGAATTGCAATGAAACCTACAGATTTCATTCAGGAAATATTCAATACTGTTTTTAGCTATTTGATAATTATTTACCAAGGCCAGACTTAAGCAAAACACTACACTAATTGAATTTATAAATATAAAATTTCTTTAAAATGTCTACATATGTAATTTTATAAAAGTCAGTTACACTCCCACCCCCAAATTATACATTTTAATGTATTTATATATTTGAGAAGGGGAAATCCTGCTATGTGGACAGTAATTTGCAACAAATCAGTAAGTCCTACACAGGAAAGATTAGGGAAAACTACACCAAATTATTAAGTCAGTGTAGTCTAAACACTGGACTGCTTCAGAAATAATCATAGCCATCCCACAAGAATCAACTAGTTTGCCCAAACCTACCTTTTCCTGTAGTTGTTAATTCTTACCCATGGAGATTTTTCCATTGATTTTTAGAGAGAGTGAAGGGGAAGGGGAGAGACAGAGAGAAATATCCATGTGAGAGAGACACATTGATTGGTTGCCTCTAGCACACACTGCAACCAAGGTACATGCCCTTGAGTGGAATCAAACCTGGGACCCTTCAATCCACAGGCTGATGCTCTATCCACTGAGCCAAACCAGCTAGGACCAAACTTACCATCCTATATAATAAAGAGATAATATACTAATTAGACCAAACAGCAGAATGACCATGCAGATGACTGTCTGGACCCAGGCTGTGAGGGCCACAGCAGCAGTGGCTGCAAGGGCCAAGCCCCTTGCATGAATTTTGTGCATCTAGCTTCTAGTCTATATGTACACTTAGTGGCAAGATTATTATGATCTCTGAATGCATAATAATCTGGTCACTCAGTGTATATCCTATATAATAAAATGCTAATATGCAAATTGTCTCCTCGACTAGGAGTTCGACCAGCAGGCCAACTGCCCATGTCCCCTCTCCCTGGCCAGGCTAGCTGGACCCCACCCATGCACAAACTCATGCACTGAGCCTCTAGAATTTTAATATTTACCTCTGACTAATTTTTATCAATTGACAGGTGTGTGTGTGTGTGTGTGTGTGTGTGTGTGTGTGTGTGTGTGTGTGTTTAATCCTTTCTTTCTTTAGCTGTAGATCCTTTGTCAGGGGGAAAATGTGAAAGCAGAACCTAAAATTTCCTTGAGAAGTTTAGAAGATGTATTACATTGAGTTATCTTTTATCTGAAACAATCTGTTCCTTATAAAGCAGTATAAATAAAATAGTCTGTGTACACACAAGTGTGTGTATGTTTAATTGTATCTCTCTGTGTGTGTTTAAGATATTTATTATGGGGAGAATATTTATATACTAAGGAAAATACTAGGAAAAAGTCCACAAAATATTAAGTCAAATATTTTTACCATGAGCACAAGTCACTTTTATAAGTTGAAAAAAAAAAAGCAATTAAAAAAATGATTCAAAGGAAAAGCCAGAGATCTATATATAATCATATTAAATATTATATATTAAAAAGCCCAAACAAAATTTATAAAACTTCTTGGCCTTGCCAGTACTTTTTGAGCACAGTGTCTATGAGCAGCCATGATTCCAGAAGCATCCATGAAGCTTGAACTTGAACTCAGGGCCTATCTGTCCATTGTCCTCTATGATTCCAGAAGCATCCATGAAGCCTGAACTTGAACTCAGGGCCTATCTGTCCATTGTCCTCTATGAGGTACTTAATGCCTCTCTTGATTCTAAGGGTGTTTCCAGGTCAAGGGTAAAGGTGTATGTGGACCTACAGCAAAGTGAGGAAACTTTCTGAGGCTCCATGGGGGAAGGAATAAGGTCTTTCTCACACGGGATGTTCTCTGTGGCCTCTCTTCCTTCCATAAGCAGGGAAAGCCAATACAGGCCATGGAATGCTCCTCTGTGGGTGGGACCTGATAATCTTCCTTTGGGCTGCCTTATAGCTGTGAGGTAGGAGGCCTGGACTGTCTTGATGCACAGACCCGAGGCAAGTAGGCAAAACCCTACAGTTCTTATTCATTTCCTTCTGCCAGATGGCTTGCTCTTCCCCAGACGTCATTATCCACAGTAAAAGTAATAGGGTTGGCTGTCTTTGTAAATAACACTGCATTGTATATGGAACTTTATATCCTAAGATAATCTGAAATATTTTCCTGTGATAGTTTTGATATTACACTTCCAAATTAATATTATACTTGTTTTCAATGACATAATACCTCATTCATCCACAACTATTATTTTACTAGAGGCCTGATGCATGAAACTCATGCAAGAGGCTTGGCCCTCACAGCCCTGGCTTCATCTGGAATCTGGAAGGTCGTTTGGCTGTTCAGTCTAATTATCATATTACACTTTAATTATTATAGATAGCCAAACCCTGTACAATATTTAGTGGACCTTTTAAGGTGGCATATACATTTAAATGGTCAAGACTGTAAAATTCCTATAGTACTGTTTCTTTAACATTTATTCTTAACTTAAAAATAATGGTGAGAATTTTGAATTGCTGTAGGAAGTGTTCATGAAATAATAAAATTTTCTTTTAAAAAAATTTAAAGTGATTTGTGCTCAGGGGGACTATAGATGCAGACTTCTTTCTGCCTAATTTATTTTAGGCCCGAGGTTTTCTCCAGTCCTGACAAAAATTAATTTTCCAGGTCAGTCTCATGCTTCTATGGTCAAAGCCTCACAATTTTAAAGTATGAATTGGCTCGGCTTTGTTCTCTGTACCTGCGATCTTTTTTCTCCCAGGAAGCTGGAATCCAGAGAGGTCAGAATCTGAGGATTCTGATTCTGGTTTGGGATTCTGTGCCCTTGGCCATCATCTTTCTTTCAACCTTTTCCTATTCATCTCACCCTCTCTTGGTGAACTCATTGGTGGCCTTGCACTTCAACACTGTCTGCACTGAATTGTCTCAGAGTTCGTTCTCTCTCTCTCTCTCTCTCTCTCTCTCTCTCTCTCTCTCTCTCTCTCTCTCTCTCTCTCTCTCTCTCTCTCTCTCTCTCTCTCTCTCTCTCTCTCTCTCTCTCTCTCTCTTTCTCCCATTTACTTTTTCTTACTATTATTTGGTTTGTTTTTGCATTACTTTAGAGAAGTGGTTTAGCACCTACATGGCCATCTTCCTAATCAAATGAGTTCTTTTTAAAACTATTTATCCACTCAAATGTATTAAAATACCTCAAGTTCATCAATCCTAGGTCTGATGCTTCGATGGTCCTAATTTGATTTTTCTTTCTAATTTTGTACACTCAGGACAACATCTTATTTTATTGTTCAAGAAAGAAGTAATCTTGTGTATATAGGAAAACAATGTTCTTATGGGTGTTAGCCCTCCTAGTCCTTTGTGTGATTCTATGGAGCTATACTAGTAAAAGACAACCAAAGATTGAAGACATCACTGATAAGTATATTTTCATTACGGGGTGTGACTCGGGCTTTGGGAACTTGGCGGCCAGGACTTTTGATAAAAAAGGATTTCGTGTGATTGCTACCTGTCTGACTGAAGCGGGATCAACAGCGTTAAAGGCGGAAACCTCCGAGAGGCTTCACACTGTACTTCTGGACGTGACTGACCCAGAGAATGTCAAGAAGACCGCCCAGTGGGTGAAACACCACGTTGGGGAAAAAGGTGAATGACGTGGGGCCGGGAAGAATGGAAGGGTGTTGCAAAATAACTAAAGCTAGCAAAATGTGCTTGGATATTATGTGGCCTTTCAAGAAAATGTCTCTTAGCCGAAACCGGTTTGGCTCAGCGGTAGAGCGTCGGTCTTCGGACTGAAAGGTCCCAGGTTTGATAACTGTCAAGGGCATGTACATTGGTTGCCGGCACATCACTGGGGATGTGCAAGAGGCAGCTGGTCGATGTTTCTCTCTCATCGACGTTTCTAGCTCTCTATCTCTCTCCCTTCCTCTCTGTAAAAAAATCAATAAAATACATTTTAAAATTTAAAAAAAAAAAAGAAAAGAAAATGTCTCTTAAATGCCTGCTATACACTGGAGAAGATTGGAGAAATCTTAGGATAGCCTTTAATGGTGTACATAAGAAACACAGCTCAAGTTATCCTCAGTCTTAAAACCCACTGGTGAATTTAAAACTGAAATGGGCGTTGAACTTTTCCTAGCCTTCTCCAATGAAGTGCTACTCTAGCCATATATACAGCAAAGGAACTTGGGGCTAAAATCTATAGAAAAATATGGGAACAACCCACAAATTGTCATCTGAATACCTGAAATCTGCTTCCCACCCTAAAATGGTTCCAGAGCTTATACATGTTCAATGGCCAACATAGAAAATGGCCTCAGAATTTCAGTACAGGTGTCTTTGACAGTCATGGTAGAGTAGTGAGCCATTGGGCCTCATTCTGCTAAGAAGGCAGCATTCTGAACTCGAGGACTTACATTGGCTTGAATGAAGTTTGAAATATTCTCATGGATGAAGATATTTAATGGGTTCACAAAGGGAAAAAAAACAAATGTTTTTCTCTATCACATCTTCATCATATAATTGAGAGTCTATTCCTCAAAACCAATGGTTTGATAGACTCCACATAATTTTTAAAGCTTGAATTCCAACAGCTTCGCACATAATAAATGTTTCCCAATATAAATAAGCCAAGTGAATGATGGGATTTTTTTTTTTTTTTTTTTTTTTTTTACCAAAAACAAATGTGAAGTAGATGGATGTTGCTCTTTATCCATATAAACAGTTTATCAATATGCTCTGGCCTTGCCATCTAGAAAGGTAGGAAAATAGACCAATTTACTCTATATTTGAGCTTAAAAAGCTAAAGTGCCACCGAGTATCAGCATTTGACATTTAGAACCAGAAAATAGAATAACTGTGACATAAGTTCCAGTAATAGAAGTTTAACTATTTCAATTCAGCCTCCCACCCTTTCTGCTGTCACTTCCCCAAACTGTAGAGTATTTCAAAGCACGAGTATGACTAGGGGAGGAAATGGAACCATTGTGAAAAGCAGAGGCAATATTTCCATTAAGAATGCTTCTACCACATCTCCTTTCCTTCCTCTCTGTTCTAGGGCTCTGGGGTCTGATCAATAATGCTGGTGTTGTTGGCGTGCTGGCTCCAACCGACTGGCTGACAGTGAAGGACTACAGAGAACCCATAGAAGTGAACCTGTTCGGACTCATCGACGTGACCTTAAATATGCTTCCCTTGATCAAGAAAGCTCGAGGAAGGGTCATCAATGTCTCTAGCGTCGGGGGGCGTCTTGCAATTAGTGGAGGAGGCTATACACTATCCAAATACGGAGTAGAAGCCTTCAGTGACTGCTTAAGGTAAAGCAAATACCATATTAAGAAATAATAGCAGCTAACATTTATTGAATGTTATTTATTATGTACCAGACTTTCTATTTAATGCTTTAAATTATTCCCAATAGATAGCTTATCGCAAGCATGTCAAACTCAAAGGCTAACATGGGCCAAGTAAACAAGATTTTAGTTTATGTGGGTTGCAAAAAAAAAAACACATAGGTTTTTTTCAATAGACACATGCTGAATACAAAGGGCTGAAATAAATGAGTAAATAATAAAACATTTTAATAAAAAATTAATATTTTCTTGAACATTAACTTTCCAGATACTGAATAACTGCACAAATTAATAAGCATAACACAAATAAGCCTATTTTTCTTGTTCTCCGAAAATAAAATATTTTCTTCTCATTACTTCCTCTGACCTTCCTCTGGTGCTCCCAATTGACTAAACCAAACAGAAGCTAAAATATAGTTAGTACAGGCAGGCCTCCCAGCAGGGAGTGCAGACACAGGGGTGGAGGGGACTAGTGGAGCGAGTGGAAAGTATCCAGTTGAGTGTGCTACGATAAGCAAGAGAAAAGATGAAAGTACATACAGTCTTTTCTTCAACTCAACCATTTATTTATTCAACTAGTTGCAGGTACATGTCAGAGTTATGATCTACACTATGGATCTAGGTATAGCTTATTAATAAAAGGTTAGATTATCCTACAGAGATTAATAGAGAGAGCAACTCCATTTTGCCATTTGATCAGGTGGCCAGGTTTGATTCTTCCAGGAAATAAACACACAAGACAATGTCAGAACAATGCTTCTTCAATGGCAATGTGCATATGAATCGCCTGGATCTTTTCAAAATGCAGGTTCTGATTCAGTGGGTCTGGGGTGGGTCCTGGGTTTCTGCATTTATAACAAGCACCCAAGTGCTGCCCATGGCTGAGAGATGACACTTTGAGTAGCAAGGCCTTGGACAACCTCCATTAGTCTGCTTGGTTGCCCTTTGGTTTCACTTTCTCAGCAACAGTGTCATCATAAAATGTTAGCACGCTTAGAGACATACTTAATTTTAAAAAGATATTTCAACTGAAGGGTTTGTGGGATTGTAACACAGCTGTGCTCTGCCTGGAATTAATCAGTAGGGAGTGTTTATATGTTTTTAAGTCGTGGAACTAATATTGGAAATGGTGTTGTGCATGCAGGCCTCAGTCCAGTGGCAGCTCCAGGAGGGTGTGGGGGCAGCTGTCCTATTGGGAAAGGGTTGGAGCTCTTTAAAGCTGTATTTGCTCAGCAACATACTGGTTTCCTACTGGTTTTGCTCACCTGGTAAGGTTAGTTGGATGACTTAAAGCCATTTGTCCCTCAAGGATGTTATTTTTATGAGTGGATGGGAAGGAAAGTTTTCCTATATACCCCTTTAGCACTTTCCAATCCAAAGGAAATCAGAAGATAGGCAAGAAAAATACAATCAGGTTGAAAAATATATTTTTTATTTTAACACAAGCAACATACCCTTCAAACAATTTAAAATCAAGCTAATTTACCCGGTGGGGAGAGCCCTTCGTCCTGGGAAACGGAGTGCGGCCGGAAAGGGGGCCACCCCCACGCCCTTCACACAACACACATTCTCAGGAAACCTGGCGCTAAACCATTCGTAGACGACCTGTTTCTGGGTCAGGGTTTCCTACATAGCAGAGCAGCTCCCTCCCTGCGATCTATTGAAACTCAACCTTTGACACAGGGCTTTTTTTGTAAAAGAAAAAAATATATAAGAATTATTTTTCTTTATTAAATAATTATATATAGATAAATAATAAAACCAAGCTAATTGGCATTTTTGTAAAAGATACTTCAAATTAAACAGTAGGTGTGTTGCTAGAAAGTAAAATGTAAGATCAATTAAATCGCATTTTGAAGTTATTGGTAAGTTCTTAGTAAGTCTTATGGTTGATAGAGTTTTTTGTAAAGTGAATAATTACTTCCTTATATACCCCTGATATAAGTATAAGTTAAATATGGGGAATAAAATATTTACATAATGGTTTGCTATACATTGGGTTGCTTTAAAGAAACGGGGACCATGATTTCGCCAAAACCCTGTTACCTGGCAAATGCATAGGTTTAGGTTTTCTGCCGTGAGATGATGAAAGAGCTTGCTGAGTGGCCTAAGGAACAGGTTAGTCAAGACATACTGTGTTCCTCAGCATATCCTCATTCATGCTGCAGTCTCCTCACGTTCCTAGAATGGAGGTAAACTTGTCCAGCCAGCCAGTCATCAGTCAGTTTCACCATAAAGTACCCTACGTACTGAAAAGAAACCTGTCCTCAGCCAAAATGCTTTCAAGTAAGGGGAACATTAGACTGGGGATGGGTCTACCCAGGTCCCTGTCCTGTTCTGACACTAAACCAGCCCTCACTTCACCACCCTGATCTTCAGATCTGCAAACTGAGAGGGTAGAACAAGATGCACCTTTCCAATGCACCCGATTCTGTGATCCCACGAAAAGTTTCACAAGAAAATATCACAAACATTTTCCAAATGGACCTCCACTAAATATCATCAATGGTTTTGTGTGGTTTGTTTGTTTTTTACACAGGCGGGACATGAAAGCTTTTGGTGTGCACGTTTCTTGCATCGAACCGGGATTATTCAAAACAGGATTATCAGATCCAGTAAAGACTGCTGAGAAGAAATTTGCTATTTGGAAGGACCTGTCTCCAGATATCAAACACCAATATGGAGAAGGTTACATTGAAAAATGTGAGTTTTGAGGATGGACTCAGGGTCCTGTGGAATTCGCAGTTCTAGGCAGCATGCAGGAGACTAAAACATATATTTAAAAATGAGGTTCTCACAGTAATAGGGATCTTAAATATGGATCAGGTATTCCTACTAATTCCAGTGTCATCTCCTGCTCCTCTGAGCACTTACTAAGTGCCAAGTTCTATACTGAGCACTTTATAAATTATGTGTATCATTTACCAAAAATACAAACAAAAACACCACCACAAAAGCACTATATGAATAGTAAGCAGAGGCTTGGGAAGGCAAAATGGCCTACCCAAGGCAATACAATGAGCCTCAAAAAACTCCTCTACCAATCAATCATTTAACATTGTTCCAGGATTTATGGAGGCTCCAGAATATAAAGACTTTGTCTCTGACCTTTAAGTATCTTATAATCTAATTGAAAACAAAAAGTAACCAAAAGAGACTGTAAAATAATGAGACTGTATAGCATGAAGAAAATCAATTCTTTCTTTATGTCTTAGACATAACCCTAGAGTCCAGAGGGTGCTATATGGTGTGGTCTCTAATTGCCCAAGGAATTCAGACCAAGAAAAAAAATGCTGGCTAAGAAACCTTTATGGGACAGGTCGGGTTTGAATAAAGCCTAAAGTACAGGAAGGAATTACTTAGGTAAAAACTTTCTGGAGCAGGATTGCAGGGGGAGTAGAGATAGAAGAAGTAAGTCCAGAGATTGAGCCAGGGATGGAGGAATAAGAATAAAGAGTAGCTATGATGACTAACATATAGTGAACATTTATTGTGTACTTGTCCCCACTATAAGAGCTTACATGAACTTTCATTTAAAATGCTTAAAAAGTAAATAAATAAAATGCCCAAATAATCTGTATGAAATAGATACCACCTTAATTTTATAGAAACAGAGAAGTAAGTTGCCCAAAGTTTCCGAGTTATAAGTGGAAGTACTAGATTTGTACGCAGGTAGCCTGACTTTGACCACACTATAATGTCAACAGGCCTGAAGGAGCTGGTCGAAGTTCCTGTATCAGGATTGCACTTCCACCTCGAACTTCCTGTCCCTGCCCCATCTAACTTTGTGTCACTCTATTCCTCCAAGCTGTAATCCTCTTCATCAATGGGCTTGGTAAGACAGCCAACTGTGGTAAGGTTCAAGGTCAGTAGTTCACAAGGCAGATCCACCTAGGGAGGTTTTTAGAATGACTCACTCCCTCAACCACCCCACCCACTATACATACACACATACACTCACGCACACACAGATGCAAACATATACACATATACATGGTGTCCCAAAAAATGAATATGCACTTTTAATTATTATAAAGTCAGTGTTTATTAACATGCAGTTCATTTTCAAAAATTAAAATAATCTGCAGAAATGAATTTTTTTTTGTTTTGTTAGTGCCTGTTTTCATACTAATGACCATTCTGATCCAGGCATCACTGATAACTCAAAGCAGTGGATTGACAAACATTTAGAATCATTTTGTTCAGTATTTATGTGCCCTTGATTCTTTGACTATTGCCTTAATTCTTCAACAGTTTTGTACCATAAACTTTATCTTTTATGTATCCTCATAAAAAAAAAAAAAAGTCTAGCAGTACTTTAGGATAAATTTTCTTTGTTCAAAGTTTAATCTGGCTTCGTCCATTATTTCAAATCAGTAAAAACTGAAAAGGAGTGAAAATTAAGTGAATTATCAGATATATATATATATATATATATATATATATATATATATATATATCTCTTTTGGGGACACCCTAATATCAACTATAACTTCTGGTCTGACAAACCTCCCAGTGCTGACATGTCACTATAGATTTAAACCCACTGCCATCAAATACTACCAACTCTGAAGGTACTAAGTAGATTCAGAAACAAAAACTCTTTTAAAAGCATTCTCTCTACTTGATACTAACATTGATACCTTATAAATGCCTATGAGTATATCACCAACTTTCATCTCAAAATTATGTTTGCACTAGCTCCTGGTTCAAATGTCCTGTCTCAGGAGTACCACTTGGCTTTGGGTCCAATGTTACATGGGTTGTTCTTTTTAGAGTTTTCCAAGTCAGGATTTGGAGATCAGCCAGACTTACTGTTCCAAAGTAGAACACAAATTTAAGCTCACCTTTCTTTGTTTCCCAGGCTAGAGTAATAGGAGTTTAAAATACCCACTAAGGCTTATTAGGTAACCTCATTTAGACTCTTTGATCAACTTGTGGCTACTAGAGCCTGAAGTTGAAAGGAAGATTTAAAATTATAGATTTCTTTTGAGAAGACACAACTCAGGTATGGTTTTTTTTTTTTCCTTTAAAATATTTATATTACTTGAGAAAGGAAGAGAGAGGGAGAAAAGAACATCAATGATGGGAGAGTATCATCAACCAGCTGCCTTCTGCCTGCCAGGCTGACGACTGAACCCACAACCTGGGCATGTGCCTTTGACCGGAATTGAACCTGGGTCCCTTCAGTCCTTCAGCCAATGCTCTATCCACTAAGCCAAAACAGCCAGGACCTCAGATATGTTTTAAGAGCACAGGAGGCCCTACTGGTTTGGCTCAATGGATAAAGCATTAACACACAGACTACAGAGTCCCGGATTTGACTCTAGTCAGTTGAAGGCTCAATCCCCAGGTTGCATGTGGTAGGCAACCAATCTATGTGTCTCTCTCACATCGATGTTCTCCACTCCTTCTCCCCATCCCTTCCACTCTTTCCACAAATCAATGGAAAAATATCCTTGGGTAAGGATTAACAACAACAACAAAAAGAGTACAGGAGGAATGTTCCAAGTCATTACCAATCCCTGATGACACACCAATCTCTTCAAAAGTGTCTCAGCTCATCACTCAAACACTTCCCTTCCCTGAGGAGCAGGATCTCCTCCTCTTCCCGAGTCAGGGCTTTGGAGTGACGATTCTCTCTTTATTCACTGGATTATGGAGGCACATGACACATGAGTGCATGCACACACATGCTTAAGTGCACATGCATTCCCACATTTCCTGTAAACAAAGTACTCCCTCAAAACAAACCCAAAGTCAAACCCTTAACTCCCTGGGCGCAGGAGCCTCATATACTTTGTGAAGCTTGTTTCCCTTGTTGCTTTAACGTGTTGCCGCTCCAAGTTTGGTCTCTACCAGAGTCATCAGCATCACCTGGAAACTTGATAGAAATGCAAATTCTGCCGAAACCGGTTTGGCTCAGTGGATAGAGCGTCAGCTTGTGGACTGAAAGGTCCTGGGTTCAATTCTGGTCAGGGGCATGTACCTTGGTTGCGGGCACATCCCTGGTAGGGGGTGTGCAAGAGGCAGCTGATAGATGATTCTCTCTCAATGATGTTTCTAACTCTCTATCCCTCTCTTTTCCTCTCTGTAAAAAATCAATAAAATATATATTTTTTTAAAAAGAAAGAAATGCAAATTATTGGGCCTCACCCCTTACACCTGCTGAAGGTAGGACCCACCAATCTGGGCCTCAACAAGCCCTCTAGGTAATTCTGCTATCCACTCAATTTTGAGAGCCAGCAGTCTAGAGAAAGCATTGCTGCATTATTTTCTGATAAATACATAGAAACCCATCACAATGGTCCTCGATTATAATGGCAAATTCAAAATTCCCATTAAGGAATCTTCCCCTTTGTACCCTCGCCTCTACAAACCCCTTTCCCCCTTTTGCCAAAGAGTAAACACACTTGTTCTCTTTTTACAGATATGGACAAACTGAAGGACACAGTGTCCTTCGTGAACGTGGACCTCTCTCTAGTGGTGGAGTGCATGGACCATGCTCTCACAAGTCTCTTCCCTAAGACCCGTTATGCTGCTGGAAAAGATGCCAAGATTTTCTGGATACCTCTGTCTCACATGCCAGCAGTGTTGCAAGACTTTTTATTGTTGAAACAGAAAGTAAAGCTGGCTAATCCCAAGGCAGTGTGACTCAGCTAACCACAAATGTCTGCTGCAGGCTATGAGTTTGGCTGATATCAAGGACATACCTCCTTTTTAATTTTATTCCTTACCTAATCCAACTTGGACTCATTTAGATCATGCTTCCTTTGATAAAGGAAGAGATCCCACCATCCCTGATGTCCCAGAGACCCTTCTCAAGCCTTCCTTGAAAAGAAGGGCAGGGATGGTATATCACAAAGAAGGGCAGGAATGGTACCTCCCCAATATTTAAGCTTTGCCCAATATTTAATTTAAGAGAAATTAAAAGGTTTCCCACCCAGCCGAAACCTGTTTGGCTCAGTGGATAGAGCGTTAGCCTGCGGACTGAAGGGTCCCGGGTTCGATCCCGGTCAAGGGCATGTACCTTAGTTGCGGGCATATCCCCAATAACGGGTGTGCAAGAGGCAGCTGATTGATGATTCTCTCTCATCGATGTTTCTACCTCTCTATCCCTCTCTCTTCCTCTCTGTAAAAAAATCAATAAAATGTAAAAAAATAAATTAAAATAAATTAAAATAATAAAAGGTTTTCCATCCAAAATGATCTCTACCATAGCTTAACCCATACTCCCCACTCCCATTCTTGAATGTTTAATATATGTCCCTTATCAAAATGTTCAGAGATAAGGAGACTACTTTCATAAGTGGGTCAGATGTGTTCTGTTATCTTACTGAGAATAAGACTCCAAAGTACTGGGGCAGGAGAAGAAGGGTTAGGAAGTGTTATGTCACTGGTATAAGCTAAAGGGCAGTAGACAAACACTAGGGAGGACTGGAAGTAGGAGGGAAGGAAAAGGAATAGAAGACTGAAAAACAGAAATGGATATAAAAGTGGAAACAGGGAGTTTCCAAGGCAAGCCTTTCTATCCTAGAGGGGACTAGGGAGGATGAACAGCCCATTTAAGGCCACCGTGAGCATTGATGCACACACAGCTGTCTGGAAGAGAAGTGTAACAACAGAGTAACCAACCATTCCAAAAGAACAAAAATGTAGGGAATATGTATGTTTATTCTGGTGATTGCAAATAGAATAAGACTAAAGATAACTGATGTAATTTACACCTGAGGTGGTTGGAAATCTGCATTTGAATGGTCTCTGAGGCCCCATGAAGATATAGAACTAAATTAACGACTCTTTTTACAGATACAGTGTGAGCAGCTCTGCTCCTTGCTCATATTTATGGTTCCAAATTGGATTGGCCCTAGACCCACACAACATCCAAAAATATGGTTCTTTAAATGGATGCTTCCCCAGATTCTAATATCCATGTCACTCACAAAGTTTTGCTGCACATTTACATAGAAATGCATGAAACATCAGAATTCAACATTTGTTGCAGAATGATATAGAGTGAAAGAGCCAGATAAATTATCTAACACACACCCCACTTATTATGAAGAGAATATTTAAATCCGCAGCTTAAAATCATATCCATTTAAATATATCAGTAATTCTGTATATTATCGTTTACCTTCTGGAAACATCTGCCTATGAGGCAATGTCCTCCTTTCAAGTGTACAACATATCTATGACTTTGAAAAATCAAATTGCCAATGGTATCGGCCCAACTGGATACATATCTCATGATTTTGAAGGAAGATACACTCATCATTTTTGCATGAAAATGAAGAAAAACACAGCAAGATCAGGTAGAAGAATTCTCAGGCAAAGTTAGCTAACCTATTGTCACTACCTACCTGTGAAATCACCCCCAGGGTGCCCTGGCTCTAAAGACAGTTCATCTGTTTATCTCTGCAATCTTCTGGTTACATTAACCACCTATGGTTTAGGAGACCCTCACTCAATTTGTCCTTGGAACTGAAGTTCATCAATGTTGTCTGCTGGGGCTTCTTCTTCTCACCTTAAATCCCCAGACCTTGGCTTCATTTTACTGCTTTAAAAATGTCTGGCCTGCTGCTCTCTGACCTTCCAGGGCTCCAAGGGCTGCCAAGACTGTTAGAGCTAAAGAGATCCTGCTTTGCTGAATTTCAACCATTCTAGTCCTGTTTGGGGGCCTACCTAATAGTGATATATCTTTTGTTTTGCCTGGACCTGCTTTCTTTGCTCCTTTCTCCCCTTAGATACAATTGGTAACTCCCTGTTTCATCTAACCAAAATCAAAGTTCTACCTAAATGAAAGCTTCCAAATATGGTAGCACCACAAAGTAAAACCAAGTATTTTCACCCAACAACTTTCACAGCTTTTAAAACTGAGTGAAAAGGTATCAGTCTCAACAGAAGCACAAGACCAGAGAGGGAGGTTAAAGGGACATCAGAAGTCCAAGGTGTGCGTTCCTAGATCTTGCCATTGCTTGTGTTCTCTGTGCTCTTGGAAAAATTATTCTTCTCTATAATATTTTTGGAGACACATGTGCTGGGAATTCTGCTAAACACAGTATGAAACACAGTGGATATGGTCCCTTCCTTCACAGAGCTTACTACCATCCAAAGGCTGGAAGCCACTACTACTCAGGGTACCTTGGAGGAGCTTCTCCAGGGATCCATGACCAGGATGAACGGAGATGCTGTCTTCTACCACCTTTAGCTTGGGGAATCCCTCCTCATTTATTTTGGAGGAATCAGGATAATCTCCTGGACTCTCCTTCTGGTCTGATCTAAAAATCCTCCAGTTGACGAAACAGGTTTGGCTCAGTGGATAGAGCATCAGTCTGCGAACTGAAAGGTCCCAGGTTCAATTCCGGTCAAGGGCATGTACATTGGTTGCAGGCACATCCCCGGAAGGGGGTGTGCAGGAGGCAGCTGGTAGATGTTTCTCTCTCATTGATGTTTCTAGCTCTCTATCCCTCTTCCTTCCTCTCTGTGGAAAATCAATAATATATATATTTTTTAAAATTAAAATTAAAATAAAAATCCACCAGTGTCCTATATCTGGACACCCACAATGTAAACAGATCCACAGCCTCTAGATCCTTTGCCCCAAATAGGCTTTCCCAGTCCAGCACCAACACTGTTAATTTTGTCTACTAAGAAGATCTCAAGTCCCTCTACTTCTCATCACCTTCAGTGCAATAATCTCTTCAAGCTTTCATCATCTCTTATCTCAACATAGCATATTCATCCTTGTGTACCTTCAATGATTTTCCTTCACAGTCAGAATTGTTCAAAATTGAAATCTGATCATTCTACTCTTCTCACCACCACTTTCTGAAACCTCCCAATGTGTTCCCATTGCACTTTTGCTAATGACTAAAATGCATATTATGTGCTACATTGACCTAGAACTCCTCACTAGCCTCATTTTATTCTTTTTAAATATATTTTATTGATTTTAGAGGAGAAGAAGGAAGAGGGAGAGAGAGAGATAGAAACATCAATGATGAGAGAGAATCATTGATTGGCTGCTTCCTGCACGTCCCCCACTGGGGACCGAGCCTGCAACTCAGGCATGTGCCCCTGGCCAGAATCAAACCCAGGACCCTTCCATCCACAGGCTGATGTTCTATCCACTGAGCCAAACCAGCTAAGGCCTCACTAGCCTTATTTTAGGCTGCTTTCCTCATTTTGCCACATCAAGTTTTTGCCCATGATCTTCCCTGGAATGTTCCAATTTTACCTGTTGGTCTAGTTTCCTCCTCCTACAGATCTCATCTTCTTCCTTGGAGAAGCCCATACAATTCCAAATTCTGACCACCACCGTTTCATCCCAGCTAGGTTCCCATCTTATATATTCCACTGTGTCCTGTAATGTACACTTACCAACTCTGTAATTATTTGTGTAGTCAGTTTATATTAGTCTCCCTTATCAGATGTTAAGTTCCACAAAATCAGGAACCATGTTGCTTTGCTTATTTTTGTATTCCCTTGCCTAACACACTTGGCACATAGACCAGTGTCCAATAAGTATTTGTTGAATGAATTCAGAAATCAGCGTATATCAACCTTTCTGATGAAGGGGCAATCTATCACTTAAGATCAAGCTTGCCAATCTCATCAGTTGTGCCATCAATGTGTCAGTTCATTTAAAATCCTATAGCTTCCTTAAGCCTTTGAGTACTTCTATGGGGACGCCTTACCTATGGTTCCTCAGAGACTATTTAGTGTTGCCATAGTGATGTCTCATGACATGCTAGTCCAGATACACTGTGACGGAGCCTCCCTCCATTGGGAGCTGTCTGGGACCCAGGGGTCACACACCAAAGAGCTTCAGGGATCATTTTATCCATTTCTCTGTCTGTGGGCAGGGCATGGCCATGCCATCCAGGTTGAAAAAAATCTCTTCAATTTAAAATCTCCCCAGAAATGCCATAACTTCTTTGGGCAACCCAGCCCATACTTGATGAGGAAAACTTGTATGAAAAGTGATCAATTTGGTATCTTTTCCATACTATTAATCTCAATAATTCTCAAGAGCATGAGAGATTACAGGCTCATTGGTAGAGGAAATAGCTAGATATTCTCAAAATGAAAAGCTTTTTAATATCTATAAATCAATTGTAACAACTTAAACTCAGCCACAGTTTATGAGAATGAGGGTGGGGAGAAAGGAGGAAAAAAGGAAGGGAAGGAAAGAAAAATTAGTGGATTTTAAAACCCAAAATGTGCCAAAACCTGTTTGGCTCAGTGGATAGAGCGTTGGCCTGCAGACTGAAAGGTCCCAGGTTTGATTCCTGTCAAGGGCATGTACCTTGGTTGCGGGCACATCCCCAGTAGGGGGTGTGCAGAAAGCAGTTGGTCAATTTTTCCCTGTCATCGATGTTTCTAGCTCTCTATCCCTTGCCCTTCCTCTCTGTAAAAAATTAATAAAATATATTTTAAAATAAATAATAAAACCCAAAATGCTTTCTTAACTTCATTCATGGTGTGAGCCATCCTAAATGGAAAACTGAAATTCTGGGTGTTGAAAGCATAAGATAAGCCTCCTCGCCAGTGATCCCAGTCTCCTCGCCAGTGAACCCAGTCAGCTTCTGCATGCTCTTGGACCCTTGAGAAAAATGATAACCAGGGTATATAGGCACTTCTCATTTTCT